CGTGTATGTACAGTATGTGTGTGCTCAGTGTTCTTGTGTTTCCTTTCTTTACAAAACCTCCTGAAGAAAAAAAAAATCCTTCCTTTTTTAAAAGAACTTTATGTAAATATTGTTGTTGAAAAGAAAAAAAAAACATTTGTTGTACGCAGAGTTTTTGTTCGTCACTTAAAACGATGACGAAAAACAATGTTCATGAATACCAGTGGTGATGTTGACGAAGCTGATTTTGCTCGCCCTTCTTGAATAAGGGCTTTTGATGTCTGCTGTTTTTTTTATTATTTTATTTTTTTTGGTTTTTGATTTGTTGGAGGTGTCGTGCGGTCAAGGCAAGGCCAAACAAAAAGGGAAGGAGTGATACTCACCACATCCCCACGTTCACTGTAGCAACACTGCCACCCATTACGTCCAGGTAATTCACTACGACACAAATTGTAGCGTGTTTTCTGTGCCATGAAGCACCATTGTGACACACACACACACCATCAGAGGGCTCTGGGGCTGCAGTGTGTGAGAGAGGACCACACACCTCCCCGCGGAGTCACCCTACCTTGCATGCTTGGCATCACGTCTCGCTCCTGTCAGCTTCCAGGCGGGAGGATTTACTGTAATGCCATTGTGTTAGACGGGATTGGCCCTGCACTGACACTGATGATGCCTTCCTCATTGAATCAGGAGTCATTATTGCTGTGCTAGGGCTCCTACATGGGGTTGGGCTTATATGGAGGGAGGGAGCAGGTTCAGAGTAGATGCAACCCGTCCAAGCTGACCTTGTAAAGACAATTTGCATGCTTGTGACTCATCCTCCTATTACGCACTAAACTACAACAAACTGACCCAATAATAGGCTTTTCTCCTGATCAGTAGGATATTTGGAAAAGACCTTAAACTCCAACAAGAAAAGTTCAGGCTTAGCATGAAAACCCAAATCCATGAACTGCCAAAGTTATTATTTTGAACTCTGAGCTACAAATGATAATTTTGGCCTATTTTGGGTTTTCTCAAAAAAAAAATGCAACATTAATTTATCTGACTTTCGATTTAATAGCATATTTGACAATTAAATAATGTTTACAGTGAAACACTTGTCTTCAGTATATTTACTTGATAAGGCAGATTATAACAATTTAATGGTTTTTTTACACTCCTCAAACACAAAATTGCCCCTTATCACAGACATTTTGTTTTACTTGCTGCAAGACCTCAGCTTAAAATATTCTGCAGCTGTGTCCAACATGAAAATAACTCTGAATAAATGTTAAATAAGTTTAAAGCCGTGGGAGCGTGTTTCAGTTGCAGGGTGCTGTGAGTGTGTTTTAATTTTTACGACTAAACACCCATAAAGAATTTTATTACACCAAAAATGTGCAGTGAAACACACGTCCACATTTTAAAAGTGAAATAAAACRAAAACAGTCGTCTAAATTTACAATGTTGAACTAATGATTCTTTTCCCACTTTTTATGAGTTTTAAGCAGTTGAGCTGGTTTATACACAAAACTTAATTTTATCAAACTATTATTGGAGCTTGAATGAAATCAGTTTTGGAATAAGCACGTCATCCTGCATGCATCAGGTGGTGCTGCATCACCTTCTGCACCCACACCTCTTATGACCTTGGATGGGTTAGATTAAACCATTCATTTGTTCATTCATTCACTATACACCATCATTTAACAGCCTTCCTGCCATGAATGAGCAATAATTTCACATGTAATGGGGGCAGAAGTGATGTTGCACTTTATTGTGTGACAGAAAGCGAAAAGAATACACGCAGTTCTACGGTAAAACAGGATTTTCCTATTAGATAGCTGATAACTGCCTTCAATTGATCATTTTCTTTTATTTGAATTGATTGCTATCAGTGTGACAAACACAACTGTAACAGCAGTCAAATGATAAATACAGCCTACCTCGGCTCCAAACGTTCTTAAATCCATTCATGATAAATAAAGCTGAAAAAGTAACAACAGAGCAACGTTTTAATCATCCATATTTCCTCATGTCTGCTGAAGTCACTCTGCTCCTAAAGTAAACTTGGTTTGTGCTTTCACCTTTCTAAAAGGCAGCTAGTCCTTAATTGAAACTGCTCAGCCTATTTGAAAAGAAAATATACTCCTGTGAAAGCTATAGTTTAATTTTAGTAAGCTCCTAAACAATTTATGATATATTGTATATATATTTTACAAATATTACTAATACCTAACCATGATTTCCAACCTCAAAGTTGCTCTGTTGCTACTATGGTGCATTCACTGACCCCCTTCCAAAAATCTGATTTTTGAGTCTAAGGTTTGTTGATCCCTGTTTAAGTTGAAAATCAGCTTTTTGATTCATATAAAAACTGCCATATTACTGATCCATTGTTAATAATGATTTTTTCCCTCTGATATTTAAAATGTTCATGTTTTATATTCAGCCCATAAACACTATACACAGGCCTGCTTATTGTCACCGCAGGGATTCTAACACTCACTTCCGTCCATTCCATATGCCAACAACCTTATGTACGTGGCCGGGCGTCGGTACAGTGCAGGGATAGAACTTATCGGTTTCTGGTGTTCTTGTAGGACCGTCTCTGCCACCTATGTGGCACGGTTCAGCAGATATGGCCAGCTGCTGTCTCCAGGAAGGACAGCAGTCTTTTTTTTCCCTGCGGCACCATCCCTCCCACAGAGGGGGAGTCATAATATCCACAGACACACCAAATATAAATA